TTTAAATCTTGGGAGTTATTTTTATTTCATTATTGCTTTCTAACAGTCTGAGTCTGCAAATCATAGCTACCAGGTGAAATCCTCATTTTTCTAACTGCTAGGTGCACTAACAGTGTGAAATACACTGACATAGATATATATGCATAAAGGTACATGGCAGAATCCTGATACTAGTGGATTCAATGGACCTGCTCTATGATCTTGCCCAGATACAGCTTTGAGTGACTAATCCATTTTCTTTTGTCTTTTCTGTCTCTTCCAGAGGAAATGATGGTGCACATTAAACTGTGTCACTTATTGAGCTATCTAGCATTTTATGACTTTATTGGCATATGTTCAAAAAAGTATTTTGAGAAACTCAAAAGGAAGATGGAAGTAGGAAGCTAGGACAACAGTTAAAAGCAGAAAGCACTAAAAGAAACATTTATTTCAATTATAGTCTGTGACTCTACATTATCAGTAAAAGATGGAATCAAGCTGTTACTGCAGGTAACTCCAGGAATCTCTGTTTTTATTCAATTCAACCATAACTGAAATAATCGCATAAAATGGGTACCAAGGGCTTTGCAAAGCAAGATGTATATTCTGCATTTCAAATTCCTGGTGTGGGACTTCCTAATTATAGATTTGTGTATGTGAGATCAGTGAGGGAGGCTCTGAGTTCATGTGGTAGTCCTATATTAGCCATGTCCCCTCTACTCTGCTCTTATGAAACCCCACTTGGAGCACTGTGTGCAGTTCTGGTGTCCTCAACATAAGAAGGACACAGAGCTGCTGGAGCAAGTCCCAGGCAGAGCCACAAGGTGATCAGGGGACTGAAGCACCACCTGTATGAAGACAGGTTAAGAAAGTTGGGGCTATTCAGCCTGGAAAATATAAGCTGCATGGAGACCTCATAGCAGCTTTCCAGTATCTGAAGGGCGCCTGCAAGGAGGCTGGAGAGGGACTCTTCATCAGGGACTGTAGTGATAGGACAAGGGGTAACGAGTTTAAATTTAAACATGGGAATTTCAGGTTAGATATAAGGAAGAAATTCTTTACTGCAAGGGTGGTGAGGCACTGGAATGGGTTGTCCAGGGAAGTTGTGAAAGCTCCATCCCTGGTAGTGCTCAAGGCCAGGTTGGACAGAGCCTTGGGTGACATGGTTTAGTGTGAGGTGTCTCTGCCCGTGGCAGGGGGTTTGGAACTGGATGATCTTCAGGTCCTTTCTAACCCAAACCATTCTGTGATTCTATGTATCAAGAGCGTTAAGTGACAGGAAACAGTTTATTGATCAGCTTAAGAAGAGACATGAATTTGGGAGCTCAACTTCTAATATGTGTCTCTTAACAAGCTCTTTCATGACCATTAGTAGGCTAAAATTTTCATGCTAGCTGTAATGCCGAAAAGAGAGAGCTTCAGAGTTATATGATGCTGGGCTAAGTGTGTGTCTGTAGAATACAAGGGTGAAAGCAGACAAAAATAACCCAGCTCTCAGGAGAAAAATAGGTGATCAAGCCCACAGTTCTTACTGAGTCTGGTCTGTAATCTCTTTCATGCCTCTGTACATTTGATAATCTCTATTATAAACATTTTTCATGGCTTAGGGATGATGAAGACAGAATAGATTTTAATCCCCCTGGAAAGTGAAGGCTATTAGAAGTTAATTATAACACCTCATTTTTGAAGGAATACAAATGGGACTTTATAACCTCAATGGCCACAGGTCTGAGTTCAATTTGTAACTCTGCAATTATTCCCAAATCCCTCAGGATTAATATTCCAGTTGATCAAGTGCTATTGGAACTTTTCTTCTTCCTGTGGACTCTGTCAGCAGTTGGCATGAAGATGGAGACAAGATCTTGATGAAGAAAAATCAGTCTTTTATCGTGCCCATATTTAGGCCATTTGTTAAGGTAAGATCAGCTTACGCACTCATGCAGGAATTCTTTTATGATCTGCTGTCCTTTGAGGGCAGACCAGCTTCCTACTCCATGTACTCTATACTGTTGTTCATCTTGTGGCCAAGGGCTTGTTGATCTGTGACATCCTGTTTCACTTTTCTCACAGCATAATGAATTTCGGGTCTCCTGGGGAGAAAGCATTTCAGTAATGCTGGTGGTGGAACAAGGTAGTCTGCAAAAAAATTAAGAAGGTAGCTACATTTAAAATTTCTTGCAGTTTCTATGTAATTATATTAGCTGTTTCGTAACAACTATTGCTCTAGATACTCATACTGTAATGTCATCTTGTTATTAACCTGCTGTGTCTTTGGATCATTGCATTCACAAAGCACTAGCAGGTTTTGAACTTGAAAGCTCAGCATCCTGGTCAAATTATGTTCTGCCACTACACTGTATAGTATCCATAAGCAGTCTGTATGGCAGTGTATATATTTTTTGTAGTCTGTCCAGCTGTAAAAGTGAGTAGAATGAATGCTGTTGTTTCAGTCAAACTTAACTCTCAAGTAGTCATTTACTTTCCATTCCTTCATCCTGTTTCTGTAAGCTAGTGCTATGTCGAAAAGACAGCATGAAATGCTCACAGCAGTGTACTGTGACCGTTGCAAGGGAAAAGAGCTGTAAACTGTGGCAAATCTACATCAGACTGGATGAGAACTAGGGAGTTTCAGAGGTCCTCGCAAAGAGGGACAAGTTGAAACCAAGCAGACATTTCTCCCTGATCTCTCAGGGAGTGAAAGAGGGAGTGACTCTCTGAATTGTCACTTCTTGGTTTAAGTCTCTATGGGGGTGAAAAAAAAATATGCTCAGAGCTTGCCCTAGGCAAGGACAGATGCTGGGCATGATTGCTACTTTCAGAGCAGAGAACTGTAACCTGCTAGAAGCTTCTCACCTTTACCACTATTGGTGGAGGGTCATGTTCAGGTGGAAAATACAGTGGTCAGAGGTCCTGTCACAGGAGAGCGATCAAGAAAGCAAACCCACAATTCAAAGACCTCCTAAGTCAGTGGTTGTAGATATATCTTCATGTTTTATAGCCCTCATAGCTTGCCTTCCATGAGTTTACCCAGCTGCTTTTTGAGAGCACTGAACACTCTTCATAATCTGAGTATGTGGCACCTGGTTTACTTCAAAACCATTGTTCCCAAGGGTAGGAAATAATGAATAGCCGTTCCCCATTCACTTCAGCATATTGGTCATGATCTTTTATGCCTCTGTGGCCCATTCCCCACCATTGTTTGTTGTCCAAGCTGAAGATCCCAAATCTGTTTATTTAGAGATCTGATTATTGTGCCTTACTCTCTCATGCTGTAGTGCATGGGAAGGCACAGAGTGCGGCACAAGTTTAGTTTCTGTACCTGTTCTTAGAAAAGCACCTCTCCTGTTTGTGCCTTGCAGTGACTAGACAGCCCTGTGTCCACACCTTTTCCCACAGGGCAATGAAGTTCAGAAGGCACAACTTTTCTCTAACCAGGCGAATCTCATGGGTGTATGAGCTCTTTCCCAGCTGAAACCACAAAGGCCACCAGCTAGCTGCATAGCGAAATTTAAATTGAGACATTTCCGCTCATCAGAACGAGCAGGAACAAGTAATGACTACTATTAAAGGACAGCCTAGTGGATAGCTGACATACTTGTGAAGGAACATGTTCCTGTTGTTGAAGATAAACCTATTGTCTACCTGTAAACCCACTCTGAAAAAAGCATTACAAGCAGGAGTTAAGGCAGTGGATTATTCATACGGAAAGGCAATTGTTTGTAGGCACAAGACACCTTGGCACAAAAAAAAATAATGTAACATGCAGTCAATCTTGAATTGAGAGAAATCCAAATACAAGTAGTTGTTCTAATTTATTGCCCTTGAGCTATATTACCTTCCTCAGCTGAAGGAGAGATTAGTAGCTGGGGAAACAACAGAAAAGATGCTGAATACTAAATGCAGACTCTTCATTCATTCCACTTGGCCTGAGCAATGCTTTCTTCCTCTCTTCCTCATATTCTGGTCAATGCTGATAGCTCAGTATCTTGCCCTGGGGACAAGGAACTGAGACACAGAAGAGAACAGGCACATTGTACATGACGGGTGAGGCACTGGTAGTTCAGTGCTGTTTCCTTTTTTAATGCAAATTACTTCCCTCTCTTCAGCATTCTCCAAAACAGGATCCAGCATGGTCATTAACATTGTAACAGGCAAGGACATTGAATAGCCATAATTGTGTTTTCTCCTGGTCTTAATTATTTCAAGGTACAATGCTGTTATAGGTATTTGTTCTGCAATTTCTTTCAAACAAAGGCATCTCCTTTGGTCGTAACCCCTTTGATTGCTGAGGAATGTACTGCTCATGAGAGATGCACAAGGCTGCAGATGAAGATACTGGTGCCTAGGCCTGTGTTCAGTGGTGTAGGGTTATGGCATTCCCTTAGCCCAGATCCCGGAAGAGCTGAGCATCTGAAATGCTGAAGTCCACACCTGCAACCTGGCTCAGGGCCAATTGATTCTAGTGCACCAGACTCACCTCCTTGTTGGACCTTTGGCACTAAGGCTGACATTCACTCATGCACTGAGCTGCATCAGCTTTGTGCCTCTCACCCAAGGCTGTCTAGGATCTGGGTGTTTTCTGATCAATCTGGTACCTGTTCTTGGAGCACTGCTAACAAACTGAAAGGCCTGAGTGGCTTATGAATTACAGCTGTGAGAAGGAAAGGAGAACAGTGTCCAGCTTTCCCATAGCACTCTCTGGTTAGAGCACTCAGGTGGGTACAAGAGAACGATACTGAGTGGCCTTCAGTGGTTCCTCTGAGCCCTAGCCTCTATTTTCCACTGTTCGGGAAGAGCTGAGTGATACACTGATCTGGTCTCCTCTCAGTGCCCTCCACCCCACGCCGCACACCCAACAACCAAAACTCTCGGGAGCAGAGGGGATGCCGCTCTGATGGGACCTCAGCATCCCAAGGACACCTTTCTCGCGGGGCCGCGTCCCTCAGTGGCTTCGCCCGGCTGCCCCCGAGTGGAAGTCGGGCACCTCCGTGGCACAGGAGCCAGCGTGGGGCGCGAGTTGCGCGGAGCGGAGCTCCACTCTTGGCCCGCCCCCGCCGCGCAGCCCGGCCCCTGCGGCCGCCCGCGGCCATGTGCGCCGGGGCGGAGCGGCGCCGCGGGAGCCGCAGTCAGCGCCTGCCGCGGGGATGCTGCGCTACAGCTCGGGGCTCACGGTCACCGCCACCACCCCCCGGAGGCCGCCCGGCGACGGCGGCCGCGCCCGGCGGAAGGTGCGAGGGGCAGCTTGGAGGGTGGCGGGAGGTCCTGCGGACCTTGCTGGGCGAAGCGGCGGTTTGATACGCACTCTCCCGCCTCTTCCTCCCCTTAGAGTTTCCCTTGCTTATTTTCGGCGTTCTCAGGTGCAGCTTGCGGTGTGCGAGAGCACCTTTTCGCGCTTTCGTAGTAGGTACTGGGAAATGAAGAGCTTTTGGGGTGTCCTGCAAGGCTTTTGTTAGTGCTAGTCCCTGGCTGTTCTTCGGGAAACCTGCGAGGAAGGTGTGCTTGTGTTGGAGACGACTTCCCCTCCGCTTTTCCTCCCCCCCCGCCCCCCCAAATGAGCGTTGGTATTTACAACTGAGAACTTGCCTATTGAAGCTCTAGCTACCATGAGGAAGCTCACCGTAATGATTTAGATGGCAATAGTAATTTATTTTTATAATCGGCTCCTCAAATACAGAAATACGGTTTACTGATGTGTCTTTTGTAATTTTCATAAATGAGATGGCTAATAATGCTGTATTAATCTGTTGAGAAATGCTTCTAAAAAGTTGTTAAAATTCTGGCAGATAACGACAGGAATGTCTCTACAGGCACCCTGTTTTAAATAGTTCTGTTTTGCTGCTGTAAGCACACTATTGTCATTGTGCACGCATTTTCCACGTGTGAAGAAATAAATCACAATAACTTATAAAGTTGTTCTTACAAAGGAATACAATCGTGTGGTCATGATGCTTCTTCAATTATGTAGTGATTGTTTTGACACTCCAAAAATACGAGTTCATAATTGAAACAATGAGGAATGCCATGTTGCCATGTTTTACAGGATAACATGAGGGTCAGGCTCTTCCGCAGAAAAAAATCCTTTGCCTTCATAACAATGATATTGTTCATGTATGTGGAAAAACTAAGATGACTTGGTAATCCAGTTATGTTCCTACGTATCTTCCATGTTTCCTTGGAGTTTTCCTGTTTTAGTATTTCTTAAAGAAGTTAAAGCTAAGAGAAGTTGTTAAAGTGATAATTTTCTTACTTTCATCCCTATGATGTATTTCTCAGGGACAGTGTAAAATGAGCTGTATTTGATACATTCTCTTAAGGAAACTGGTAAAACCTAAACTGCGGATAAAACCCACTGAGAAGCTGCTGTTGCTTTTTTTAGTGAAATGTGATTCCCTTACCATGAGTTTTCAAAAGAGGGGAGGAAGACAGTTAGAGTAACTGCTGAATAAATGAAAGATGCGTGTCACCTTCCTGTGTGCCTGTGGTCAGAAGAAAAGTGCTGTTTAATTGTGTGGGGAATCTCGTAGCAGAGATTTCATAAATGGAGCAGGCTAATCAACAGATAAATGACCAAGGAAAGTACTTTCTTCTTTGCTTTTTAGGACTGACTGAGATTAAATATCTAGTTCTTTTCTGCTTTCACCTTTAAGGTCTAAAGCTAACATCAGGTCTTAGGCAGAGTGAATGATTTTTGGCCATTGAGCTGGTAGGATAGTTACTCAACAAACATGCTATTCAAAACTATTTTAGTATCAGACGTTAGAAAGATCACCAGTGTTAGATTTGGGTGGTGTTTACTCTAAAGTTATGTTGAAGCTAGATAAATATTGATCTAGCTTAGTATCTAGCTCAATATCTTTTGGTGTCTTCCCTGCGGGGGTACTGTAAAAAATCTTAGAATGAGAATGCTTAGTAGAACAGATTGTACTTTTCTATTGCTGTACGAGTAACTTTGGTTATTCTATAAAAACATTGCTCATTATTTTAATGCTACTGTTAATTATTTCAGTATATAGTTAACTATGATCAATGGCTTTCTGGGCGCTTTAGTTTTTAGAATGGGGAAGAAGAGGCTGAAGGACATTACTCAGACTGAATCTGTCATCTCTGTTTTAAGTTGCACCCTAGTGAATTGAGTAGGATGGTAAACATGCATGTTGATTGTGGATCTGGGCCATGAATTCTTAACATTTTTAACTAACCTAGATTGTTTTTTTTCTTAACTGCCATACTGCAGTAGCTCTCATCTATGTTGTCCCACTAGCGTCTTGGAAATTTGGTAAAAGAGCATATCTTCACATGTTAATTTACATTGCACTCAGCAAACTTTAGCTGTCTTGTGGAGTGCTGGGCTGAACCTCTCAGCCTTTGTTTTCATGTCTGCGTATTCATCTCACAAATGATGTCAGACAAGCTTTGGAAATACTGTTCCTGGGTTGTTGGTGTCAAAAAGCCAGGAGTGAACACAAAATGTTGGCACAATTAAGATTACTTATGTTGTTGGCTTGCTGTAGCTACAGATGCTGCAAATCAAACTAAAGGCTAGAAAATCTGATACCCAGTTCTTCTTCTACCCAGTATATCTTTCTGAAGTTATACTCACAAAGTTACAATGTCAGTGGCATAAAAGTGGGGTAGAAGACATATCTGTCCCTGGTTTTCCTCATTTGTTCTTACTGTCAGTCAGCATTTGAAGGAAATTGTATCACAGCCTTTTCCTTGCTTGGGGAGTCCTCTTTCATTCTCCTCCCTGTTTTCTCTCTGAATAACCCAATTTGTTTCTGGAGTTTACGCCTTCATCTTCAGTTGCACATTATTCTGCCACTGTTTGGCACTAAGTCGAGGCCCCTCCTGTTACCATTTAATTTCCATTTTAAGGCATCACTGCAGCAGTGGTTTGCTGTTGGAGGAGGGTTTGCTGCAATTTCCATGTGAGCCTGCTCATTCATTTGGTCAAGTAAACTTGCTGACAGAAGGTACAGTGCGTTGTTTCTCCAGAAAGCGCTGCATAGCAGAACAGCATAGGTACAGTATTCATAATTGCTTCTGGAGGTTAGAGAAAAAGGCAGTGCCTGTTATTTTTCCCTTCCAATCTCTATAGTGTTCTTGAATTTTAACAGATTGCTCTGTAGTTCTGTCCTTAGGTAGAGTACATCTTCTGTGGCTCAGGAGGAGCGGGAGTGAATGGCTACTTTGTACGTTTGCTGCTATTTCCCAAGGGATGCTGAGGAAGTCCTATTGTTATAAGCGATTGCAAAAGTACAGCCTGTATAAGTTTGTCCTAGCGAGGAATTGGGTGGTACTTTGCCACTTCTGTACAAGCCTCACTGGGCCTGGCTTCAAGGCTGGAATCGTTAGATGATTACCAATGCCACCCTGTGTTTGGTGTTTGCATGCAACAGGCTGCAAAGTAAAGCATTCAAACTTGTATTTTGTCAGAAATACTGCCAAACATATGATACTGATTTGAGGTACTTTAAAAGTAAGATAGTGTGGAAATGAAGAGGGGGGGAATGATTTGGGGGGGGAATGATTTTAGGGGTAATGGAGAAGGCAGTGTAAAAAGAAAAGACCAAGAAAACCAGTTTAAATGGTAACAACTCTTTGCTCGTGCAGGGGTTTTAGTCTCAACAAATTACCACTATTAATTTGTGTTTCCAACATAGTTGTGATTTGACTGCCATCTGCATTGGGCTTCTGTGATTTCCTTCATAGTAACCCTTTAACACATGATTGCTGTAACATCACAGGCAGTCATGATTCACTAACTGGTGTACAGGTACAGGGATAATAACTTATTTACAATCACTGTACTGTGTTTATCTATAAGTATGTTGACTATAATTAGTCCCATATTGACTAACAGGCAAGCCATTTGCCAGCTTTGGGGAAACATACACAATTCCATTTCTCCTAACTTCATGTTGCCAGGCATTATCTCTTCCTATTTATTTGAGGTATTTTTAATGTTTTCTTCTAACAACCCTTTCAATCATTTTAATCTATTTTTTCTTCATTTGAAATCGCTGTAAGAAAAAGTTGGCCTCATCCGTCACTTCCTGCACAGCACAGCACAAATTCAGTTCTATTTCCTATTTATGGGCCTGGTCTTTCTTTGTTTGCCTATATGGAGGAATGCCAGATTCTGCTTCCCTTCTTGTGGTAAACAGCCATGTTTTAAGAGGAAAGAACCTTGCTAAGCTAATGGGAAGGGACAGCATAGGGAAATGAAAAATGAATAGGTGAGAAAAGGTAGCATTAATTACCTTACGAATCAATAAGCTCTGAAGTTGAGAAGTTTCTAATTAATACATCTTGATAACTAACTTGTAAGCAGGAAGCACCTGCAGCTTCTGCAGTTTATGGGGAGAGTCTGGCGTTCTCAGAAGAACACAGCAGACAATCAGTGTCAAAAGCCAATGTGCAAGAATTCACTTTAAAATTTCAGAATTCTTTAGCAACTGTGAAAGCATAGCCTCTTTTATACTAAGTATTGGGGGGCTTATATCACTTTCTTTGTGGCTTCTTGTTCTTGATTTGCTAGCAGGTGGGTGAATGACGAATTAATGGTGAGTAGCCCACTGCACAAAAAGTAGCCTCCACAAAAGTGTCTAAAGAATAGATTATATTTCACCTTCATCTTTATAATATGGACACAGCTAACATACTTTACAGGAACCGTATCTGTGTTTCAGGACACTGTTCCTTATTGGTAGAAGGCCTTGCAGACCTGCAATACCAAACTGAGAGGAAGATGTAAACCAATATAAAGTAGTATTTTTAAAATCCAGTTGGCAGCATACCAGTAGTCTAAACACTGTTGATTTGTTGTTTCAACAGATTTAAAGAAAGGGTGGAATTAAAATAGTGAAGTTGCTGCAGGTATTTGCAGGTAGTTCTTCCAACTGCTTTTGCTTGGTAAGAAAAGGTTAAAGCTTGTTGGTAAAGTTAAAAAAGGTACATTGTTTGGAAACGGAAACCAGGAATCCTTGTCATGCTGAGTAGTGGTGCTCTGAGGAGGCTGTGTTGTAAAGAGCCTTGAAAGTTAAGTCAAGTTAGCTTAATTGATATGAGTGACAGTTGAAAGAAGTGAATTATAAAATGGTAAAATTTGGGGTCTGTGAAAAGTAATTGCTGCTGTGCTCTGAATGCCTGTGAGCAGACATGCTTGTCATTTTCAAGGCGAAAGGAAGTGCTGTTGTGACCAAGACACAAGCTGTGAGCTTGGACAAGTGCAATTAAAAGGTATATTTCAGAGAGAAGGTACACATTACACATGGCTGAAGTCGGCAGTTAAGAGAAAAGAGAGAAACCTAGATCTAATGAGATTCTGGACTGTAGAAGAACAGTGGTGATGGCCCACAGTAATCATGAAAGAGATATTTTAGACATCTTGAGAAAGAGCCTTAAGAGTTTGTTATCAATGAACAGCTTCAAATTTGAATAGAAAAATTTCTCATTTCATTATTTTCTGTGCTCTGCTTAGGACTTGCAGTTGTTTTCCATGAAAATATCTCATGAACAGGACAAAGACTGAAAGTTTTAACCAAGTTTCTTGTATGGAATGTGTTGTTTGAAGAATATCATTACACCAAAGATCTCAGACAAAAGCAAGGCAAACTGTAATTGGGCGTAGAAAGGTATCAGCCCCACTGGCCTCTTTCCTCAGTGAGAGAATGGCTTTTTTGAAATCAGATAGGAAACAATACCTCTTCAATTTTCTCTGAAGTGTTTTGAAGCTTAATTTTTACAAACAACTTGTATGTACCAGATTTCAATAATATTTCTATTCACACTCAGTGGAATTGCAGTGCTAAAGTATCCTTGGATCAAGTGCTTGGATACATATTGAACAGAAAAGAAGCATTCAGTCCGGAATACCCATTATGTTTATAAATAATCCCCTTTGAAGATTAAAAGTATGCTAAATCTGCAAACCGAACTGAGAAACTAGAAAATCATGTTCATTGTTCTGTTATCTCAGCTGTCAATGTCATTTATGAGTACATAAGAACATACTGTTGATTGAAATGGATTTTTGCTATTTCAGGTATGTAATTATGGGGATGCCCTTGAATTATTTCTTGCCAGCTAAAACCCCCTCCAACTTTAAAAAAAAGAATCTTTTGTCAGCTGTGAGGCAGCAGGTAAAAAATACTAAATTAAAACTTGAATGTTGGTACAGTTCATTCTGTAATATAAGTTATTAAAGTAACTGTTTTTAACACGTAAATCTAAAAGCAAACCTTTCTTTTTCTTTCAGATGAATGTCTGTAGGTTACGCTTGACTGTACCTCCTGATGAAGGCTCACAGCCTGAACAGGGAGCAAAGGAACCTGAAAGAAAGAAAAACGTAAGTTTTGAGAATCAAAGTTAAATTCTGTATAAGCAAGGACTAAATGTTGCCATCCACAGAAGCTAATTTAGTTGTTTTGGGAGCCCAAAGCCCAGATCTCAGAAGACCACAGAACATGTGGAAGCTGAGCAAGTCAGCTGTGAACTTTAAGCCTGAGCTTTGCAGTTGAGGACAGCAAAATTGTATGTAAAGTGGGACAGTAGTAGAGGAACAGCATAGAGATTGTAGGTGATTTGTGACTAAGGTACTTTTAAGACTTGATTATTTAATATTTATATATTAAAGAGTAGGAAACTGCTATCAAGAACAGGTATTACTTTAAACAGGATCTTGATCCTCACCTGAAGGGGATTTTATATTTCAGGTAGGCTTAAGAGTGTGCTAGATTTGAGCCTTAATGTGTAGGGAGCTCAAACCCAGATGTTTTGCTGTGTCAGCTAATTTTGGTGATGGGTGATGTACTGTCATGGGTTAAGCCCAGCCAGTAACTCAGAACCACGCAGCCGCTCGCTCACTCCCCCTCTTCTTCCCTTCACTCCTGGAGGGACGGGGAGGAGAATCAAAAGAATGTAACCCCCATGGGTTGAGATAAGAACCATCCAGTAACTAAGGTATAACACAAATCACTGCTGCTACCACCAATAATAATAATAATGATAACGGAAATAACAAGGAGAGAGAATACAACCACTCACCACCAACCGACCGATACCCAGCCCGACCCGAGCAGTGATCTCGCCCTTCCAGGTAACTGTCCCCAGTTTATACTGGGCATGATGTGCTGTGGTATGGAATACCTCTTTGGCTAGCTTGGGTCAGGTGTCCTGTCTCTGCTTCCTCCTGGCTTCCCCTCCTCCCTGGCAGAGCATGAGACTCAGAAAGTTCTTGGTCAGAGTAAACATTACTGAGCAACAACTAAAAACATCGGTGTATCAGTGTTGTTCTCCGGCTGAAAATCAAAATGACAGCACTGCACCAGCTACTAAGAAGGAGAAAAATGACTGCTACTGCTGAACCCAGGACATGTACTAATAGGAAATACAAAATAAAGAATTCAAGATGTTCTGAAGTGAAAGTGATTTGAAGGTCATGTGCACAGAATGGTTCAGAAGTGTGTACACACACAAAAAATCTTACAGCTGCTTTGGTGTAGAACTAGTTCTTTAAGAGCTGTTTCAGAACAATAGATGATGTTTAATTTGTCTTAAGGATGGAGAGAGACTAGAAACGGAAGCTGGACAGGCTCCACAACTTCACCACATTTACACTTTGGTAAACCAAAATTAAACAAGAAGTTGGCTAAGTTTTCCAGAGCCAGTGTCTGAGTAGCAATATGACATTAGGAAGCAAAAAAGCAATAGGTTTTATTTAAAATAATTTCTTGGTGGTATTCAGAAGTGAATGTAACTGTAAAATGGCTCACAAAGGCAAGCATCTTAAAGCAATAAAACAAAATGCAAAGAAAAGTGGTCAAGATAAAGATTCCTTCTCAGATATTTCTTGTGCTGGTATCTTGTATACGCTCAGCTTTTCATACACTATTTCCCTTGTTTCAGCTGGGATAGAGTTAATTTTCTTCCTAGTGGCTGGTGCAGTGTTGTGTTTTGGCTTTAGTCTGCGAACAGTGCTGATAACACACTGATGTTTTAGTTGTTGCTAAGTAATGCTTACCCTAAATCAAGGACTTTTCAGTTTTCCATGCTCTGCCAGTGAACAGATGCACAAGAAGCTGGGAGAGAGCACAGCCAAGACAGCTGATCTGAACTAGCCAAAGGGATATTCCACACTATTAAACATCACACTCAGTATATAAATTCGGGGGGGTTGGCCAGGAGCCACCAATCACTGCTTGGGTTGGGCTAGGTGTCAGTCAGTGGGTGGTGAGCAATTGTATCGTGCATCACTTGTGCTTCCTGAATTTTATTTCTCTCTTTCTCTCTCTTTTCCCTATTATTATTATTGTTATTTTTTATTATTATATTTTAATTTATTTAAATTATTAAAACTGTTGTTATCTCAACCTGTGGGTTTTTCCTTTTTCGGAATCTCTCCCCCCATCCCACCAGAGGGGAGAGAAGCGAGCGAGCTGCTGTGTGGCATGCACTTGCCGACTGCAGTTAAACCACAAGATCTGCTCTGGCAAAGTAATCAGTGCTCGAGGATCTAGAAGTGTTACTTACAGAGTGGATGAAAGAGGCTTCAATGCAAACTAGGTTTGAGCCACCATTAAACAGCAATAATTCATATTATACAGAGGTGTTTACTTATTGCACATAGAGTAGCTTCCCTCAGTGCTTACTCTGTCAGTCTCTTGTTAGTTTGGATCTACAGAAACTCTGATACTAGCCTAAGCATATGGGTCCTTTGCCCTAAGAGTAATGTCAGTTTGTTTTGGAGGAGGATGGATATTGACTCATGGCTTATTCATTTTACTGTGCTGAGTAGTGTAATAATAAGAAAGAAGTGTGAATGATTAGGGCTTGGACAGTTTGTAGTGACTTTCTTATGTGACTATTTTTTTTTTCCTGTGGGACCTTGTATTTAATGAGACCTGTGTTTCCCCTATAATAGAAGTAAAGGTAAGTGGGGTTTATATCAGAGGATGTTAAGATATTAAATAAGTTATCTGGCTCATCTTACATTCCGGTATCTTGCACAGTGATTTTTAAGAGACGGGTCCTTTTTAGTTGAAGTGATAAGTAATTTAGTTACTGTATGTTTTGAGTAGTTTTGCAAAGTTCAGCACTTTTGCACAGTTTAAGGACTTCTAGAAAGCATACGTGCCATCTTCAGAGCTAGGTGGGATCCGATTAGTCAATTTCATAGCAATAAAGGAACACAGAGTAATTGTGCTATTGACTTGTGTCTCATGGTCTTTGTGTAATTTAAAAAAATAGCCCTACAAATAGCCATAGTGCATAGAAGCAGGTACAAAAAAATCACATCATGAACCCTTTTTTCCTCATGTCTCTAAAACAAGACCATAATGTGTTAACCTGAAGGGTTTTGTCTATGTAATGTATTGCTTTATGTATTTGAATTGCTTACATAATAATGTACAGTGCACACAGGGCTCTTGACAAGTCTGTGATACTTTTCTCTTACTGCAAAATTTAAATTAAAAAAATAAAGCATCTCCTACAAGCAGCAATCCAGCGTCTGTGCTGATCTGCCAGTGTTCAACTGACTTAGTGTTAATGAAGTTGTTCAAAGCACTTTGAGAATAACAGGTTTTACAAATGTTAGATAATCCTTGCACAGTCCTATGAGAACTGTGCCCCCTTTTTGGAAATAGGGATAACAGAGAGAAATTAGGGAGCTGCTCAGTTTTCTGCCTTGCACTTTATAATCTAAGGTCAAAAAATACAGCTTCACCATGAATCAGATTAAACAGCAGGTCTCTTGTTGGAATCTGGAGTTCTGTGCTGTCTTTAAGTGCTGAGTATGGGGAAAATGGGAACATGTTAAATGGAACATGTATTTAAAATATGTTAGTGTGACTTACAGAGATGAACTGCAGGGTAATTCTTGGGTTTGTACAGTATTTGGTGGAGCACCCAGGCAGATAAGGCAGTCTGATCCTGGCTGCCAGGCTCTCTCCTGTTTGGGCAGGACAAGTGCTGGAGTGAGACAGTCTCCCCTGCCTCTGGCTGCTGCTGGTGAGGGAAGAGAGCAGGGACCTTGCTGTGTCAGAGGGAATGCCAGAAAACTATAAATATACTATGGCATGACATTTGCTTGTAATCTCTTCTTTCAAATCTTTCATTAGGAGGAGGTGATTTTGAGCTGCCCTAATGTGACATAGTGATAGTTTACTATTTGTTACTTTTCTGTATCCTTCTGGGGCTCAGTACTATTAAGAGATGTTTCAGTTGCAAAATCAGCTAATGAACTGCACAGAAGCTCTTGGTAGTGCTGATCCTCTCAATAACTTTTTTTGGAGCTTGAGGTCAGATCAGACATCACCACTTCACTGGTTGTGTTAGTAGCTGTTAGCTTAGCCTTATTCATTGTAGTCCAAGTTTAGCAGCAAATGTATGCTGTATTTCATTATATCTATTATCAGTGCATTAAGTTTCCAGATAGACTTTTTATTGCTATACACCCATGAAATAAAAATGAATCAGTATATGAGATTAAAACAGAGTGATGGAGCTGGGCAGTTTTGTTGTAATAAAATTGCTGCAGGCATTATTGTACTAGGATGGCCTCTCCCTGTCTTTTGTGAAGGGCTGGCAGATGGTATGCAGAAGCTGATCTCAAAAATGGAAGGGGGTCTGAGCTTGTGCTCAGATTGGATTTTTGTATTCATATTTAGGCATGATACCTTGAAAGAAGCATGTGAGAATTGAAGTCACAAGTAGAGGCTGGTTGATTGGTTTGTTTGCTTTTTACAGGTTAAAAGCCTACTGCTAAGTATTTCTGAGTTGCTAGCACTTACTTAGGGAGAATCTGAAACTATCCTCATTTTGTTCCATTACTTCTGTTAATCACAGACAATGGATGACAGTAGTGTGAGGCTGTTTTCTTCACCAAGAAGTACAAAGGAATATTGTGTGTGCTGGATTGTATGTAAAATCTGTATGTCTGAAGCCTGCCTTCTCTTGCATAATGAAGGGTTACTAGACAATTGTATTGTCCCTGTTTGGGATTGGGCTTATTTTTATCCATCAGCCCCTTTCTTCACTGGCATCTAAATTTGGAAGTGTCACTGCAAGCTACAGCTACGCATTCGAGGGCAGAATATGGACACATGTGTACACAGATTTTTAGTTTTCATTAGGACACATGAATGTGAGAATTAAAATGATATAACACTCTAGAAATTTGTGTCACTTTCCTGTCTTTGTAGCTTTCAAACAGTTTGAAACAGTGTTTAGGCCCAAACTCTAATTGGTACTTTCTCTGTATATATCCTCAAACTCTTTAATTTTCTTATGCTTTTAAAGCATCACAACCAAGAGGTGAAACTCTTTTTGCTTCGTAAGCAGGAATAC